AAAGAAATTGGATTCTCGAACTGTGAGTGGTTACTTTATTGGTTACCCAGAGAAATCCAAAGGGTATATGTTTTACTGTCCTAATCATAGTTCTAGAATCGTTGAAACGGGGAATGCTAGATTTATTGAAAATGGTGAAGTTAGTGGGAGTGCTAAAGAGACTGTGAAAATTAATGAAATAAGGGTTGATGTTCCATTACCCATTAATGTTCCAATATCCACAGTTGTACCAAATATTGTTCCACAACCACAAAATAATGGTGGACAAAATTTGGATGAAGTAGCATCCCATGAAGATACTAACTTGCCACCAACTAATATAAATGAACCACGTGGAATAGCATTAAACAAACCTACAAGGGTGAGAAAATCTGCTATTTCGGATGATTATGTGGTTTATTTGCAAGAGTTGGATTTTGATACTAGCATTGATGAAGATCCTGTTTCGTTTTCACAAGCCATTAATAGTGACGAGTCTCATAAATGGATTGATGCTATGAAAGAAGAGTTAAACTCTACGGCTAAAAACAATGTTTGGGATCTAGTAGAGTTGCCAGAAAGTTCAAAACGAGTTGGGTGTAAGTGGGTCTTTAAGACCAAACGCGACTCGAGTGGCAATATCGAACGACATAAAGCTAGACTTGTTGCCAAGGGTTCTACTCAGAAAGATGGCATTGATTACAAGGAGACTTTTTCACCTGTTTCTAAGAAAGATTCCTTGAGGATCATTATGGCTTTAGTAGCTCAGTATGATTTAGAGTTACATCAAATGGATGTGAAAACGGCCTTTCTAAATGGGGACTTAGATGAGGAAGTTTATATGGATCAACCCGAAGGTTTTTCCATAGAAGGAAAGGGTCACATGGTGTGTAAACTTAAGAAGTCAATATATGGACTTAAACAAGCTTCCAGACAGTGGTATATTAAGTTTAATGATACCATCATGTCTTTTGGTTTTCAAGAAAACACTGTTGATCGGTGTATTTACCAAAAGATCAGTGGGAGTAAGTTTATATATTTGGTTCTATATGTGTATGATATCCTAATTGCTGCTAATGATTTGAGAATTTTGCATGAGACTAAAGATTTTCTCTTAAAGAATTTTGAAATGAAAGATATGGGAGAGGCATCCTATGTGATTGGAATTTCAATATTCCGGGATAGATCACAAGGATTGTTGGGGTTGTCTCAGAAAGCATATATCGAGAAAGTTATTGAGAGATTTAGTATGAACACTTGTTCACCAAGTGTTGTCCCATTACAGAAAGGGGACAAGTTTAGTCTTATGCAATGCCCTAAGAATGTGTGGAACGAAAGAGTATGGAATCAATTCCATATGCTTCTGTTGTGGGCAGTCTGATGTACTTGCAAACTTGCACGAGGCCTGATATTAGCTTCGCTGTTGGAATGCTTGGCCGATATCAAAGTAATCCTGGATTGGATCACTGGAAAGCTGCAAAGAAAGTGATGAGATACCTTCAGGGGACGAAGGATCATATGCTCACATTTAGGAGATCTGATCGCCTTGAGGTGATTGGATTTTCAGATTCAGATTTTGTTGGGTGCCTTGACAGTCGCAAGTCAACGTTTAGCTATGTTTTTCTCCTCGCCGAAGGAGCAATTTCATGGAAAAGTGCCAAACAGTCTGTCATAGCTGCATCTACCATGGAGGCTGAATTTGTGGCTTGTTTTGAGGCTACAATTCATGCATTATGGCTGCGGAACTTTATTTCGGGACTTGGGGTTGTCGACACCATTACCAAGCCGCTGAAATTGTATTGTGATAATTCCGCAGCAGTTTTCTTCTCCAAAAACGACAAATATTCCAAGGGTGCAAAACACATGGAATTAAAGTATTTTGCCGTTAAGGAGGAAGTTCAGAAACAAAGAGTGTGCATTGAACATATAAGAACGAATCTTATGATTGCCAATCCGTTAACTAAAGGTCTACAACCAAAGACATTTAAAAAACATGTACATAGAATGGATCTTGGTTGTATTGATGATTGATTATGATGATGTTATGGCACACTCTTGAGCTCATTGATGTTATGTTTCTGACTATTATCGAATTTCTTGTTCATTATGATTTTGTATACATTATGTTTAGAACAAGAAACGAATGTCTTCATGACAATTAAGTGGACATCATGATATTTATATATAATTATGGAACTTGATGTGTTGAACTGTTAGTGTAGTAGTATATGGAAGGAAGTATGCGAATCGAGAGTGTACAACCGCCATAACTCTCACTATATGGTTTATCTTGTCATAGTTTATTATGATGTATGACATCATGAGATTTGTTTAAGCGCAACTAATGTTATACCATTATATTAAGGACTTTCGGACCAAGTAGGAGAATGTAAGATTATGTGGCCCGAAAGTATTGGGCTTACAATTAATTATCCTATTGGGCTAGGTCTTTAATTAATGGTCAAACAAATCTAAGTCATTAATCTGGATACTTGATGGACGTACCAGATATAAAGCCACCCCTATATAAATTAGTCCTCTCTCCTCCTATTAGGGTACGCAGTATTATTCCATCAGTTTTTCTGCTACGTTAAGAGAAGGACAGGAGGGAGAAACTAATTTAGTCCTAAGAATCGATCAAGTATCTTGTGATCATCAAGATCAAGATCACTAATTATGTTGTCTTCCGCATCAAGTAAGTATTCGTATACACCAAATTATTTATTCAAGATCCTTGATGAAGTTTACACGGCCGTCGCAAATCCCTCGGCCAGCAACGCCTCTCGTACGACTGCTCGGACATCGCCTTCTCCTCGTACGATGAATACTGACGTGAGGTCCGCAAGATCACGACCGTCCATCTCTTCAGCGCGAAGAAGACTCATTCCTTCCGTCCCATCCGGGAGGACGAGATAGCCCAGTTTGTGGCCCGGATTTCGGCCCGAATATCGACCAGGCCCGAATCCCGAAACCAGGCTGTCAACTTGAGCGAGATGGCTATTGAGCTCGGGAGCACGTTGATATGCCGGATCGCGTTCGGGAAGAGGTACGAAGAGGGTGGGCCCGAGATGAGGAGATTCGACGGGCTCTTGAAACGGGCCCAGGGCGTGATGGCTGCTTTCTACGTCTCGGATTATTTTCCCGCGTTTGGATGGGTGGATAGATTGTGTGGGTCGGTGGGTCGGCTGGAAAGGGCTTTCCGGGACTTGGATTCTTTTTATCAGGAGCTTATCGACGAGCATCTGGGCCCGAATCGGCCCGTGACTATGAAGGATGATATTCTTGATACTTTGATCCAGCTTAAGCAGAGCAAAACTTGTTCTGTTGACTTCACCTGGGATAACATCAAAGGACTTTTAATGGTATAAGCATTATTTCCTTTGTTGTTAATTATTAACTTTAGGACTAAAAATACTATGGCATTAAACGAGCAGGACTAACTGCAATTTAGCCATAAAAAAATGTACATTTAATTTAGTCAATTTTTTTTTTTTTTTTTAAAATCCTATCTATCTATTCAAATCGCGCAGAACATATTTATAGCGGCAACAGATACGAGCTCGACATCGATCATTTGGACCATGACGACTCTAATAAAGGCGCCACAAGTGATGCACAAAGTACAAGCCGAGATCAGAAACTTGATTGGCAAGAGAGGAAAGGTAGACGAAGACGACTTGCCGAAGCTTTCCTATATGAAAGCGGTCATAAACGAGGTTTTTAGATTATATCCTCCGGCTCCATTGCTCGTCCCACGAGAAACTATAGAAAAATGCACTCTAGATGGATATGAAGTTCAACCTAAGACCATTGTCTATGTTAACGCATGGGCGATTGCAAGAGATCCCGAGTTTTGGGAAAACCCGAATGTGTTCTTGCCCGAGAGATTCTTAGACAGCAAAATCGAGATAAAAGGACACGATTTTGGTGTGGTCCCGTTTGGAGCCGGGCGAAGAGTTGTCCCGGGATGTTTATGGGGCTCGTGAATGTGGAGCTCACAGTTGCGAATTTGCTCTATTCTTTTGATTGGGAATTGCCTCAAGGGATTCGAGTCGAAGATGTCGATACGGAGGGTTTACCGGGTATCACGGTTCATAAGAAAAATCCTCTTGTCCTTGTGCCTAAGAGATACATTATCTAGATTTAGTTTGTTGTGTTCTTCTTGTATTATAAATCATTTCAATGTAACTAGTATGCCTAAGAGTTGCCTTAATATATCTAGGTTTTGATGTGTTCTTGTTGTGCTATAATCATTTCAAAGTAACTAGTGTGTTGCCTTTTGGGCATATATATGCAATGTTGTTTAAGGATTTCAAATATAATGATACTTAATTATGTGCCCATAGCTGGAGTAATTACCCACCAAAGGTTTGAATACAAATTCTGATATAAAACAGTCTAATCGTCGTATAGATCAACTAGTCAATTTATTTTTATATTAAAAATATTATTTTACATTACAATATTTCACTGTGAAAATATGTCAATTTACTTTTAATTAAATACAAATTTTGATCAACAAGTCAATTTCTTTTATATTAAAACATATTATTTTACGTTACAATATTTCACTATGAAAATATGTCAATTTACTTTCAAATATAAATTTGGATATAAAACAGTCCAATCGTTATATAGATCAACAAGTCAATTTCCTTTATATTAAAACATACTCCCTCTTATTCAAAATAAATGTCGTTTTGAGAAGTTGCACAATAATTAAGAATATTTTTGTTGTCAATAATAACCATATTTAATGAAGATAGAGATGAATGCTTTGAAAAAAATGAAGAGTGAATATGGAAAGACGTAGTGTATTTATCGACTAAATGAGAGTAATAATGGAAAAAACATGTACAAAAGATCTAAAACGACATTTATTTGGTTAATAGTTGATAAAGTCAAAATGACATTTAAAAAGAATAGGAGGTAGTATTATTTTACGTTACAATATATCACTATGAAAATATGTATGATTTATTGAAAAAGTATTTAAAGTTAGGTCTAAATAAAACAAGCCTAGCTAGTGATTTTCCCAAAGCATGAGCTTGCTACATTTATAACTAATAGAATCTATGGACGCCTAATCGTGAACTCTAATCACTCTCAAGCCTTAACAATCACAAGTCATCAACAATAAATGAGTGATTTTATCAAGCTTCACAAGCCATGGGAATAACCAAACACCGGATTAAGTTTGCTAATAAATTTATTAGCGCACAAAGTAATTTATTTATGACATGATCATAGTTCCTATATATAGTGCACAAATAGAAATAGAATCATAACAGTTATGACCATAAGTAAAAACTAACACAGCATACTCCATTAACATATTTGTATGGCAAAAATGTTGTTAATCAGAAGAAAATTGTTATTCGGGCTATTCGGGAATTACTTTCCCCTGAGTGGGATGTTATAGTGACTCATTGCTTCCGCGAGGTTAACTTTGTGGATGACTGCTTGGCGGCTCTCGGCCATTATGGTCCTAGTGGTTGTCATCGTTTCTCTGATCCACCGTTAAAAGTCAAACCGTGGCTACAACATGACCTCATTGACGTTGCGTACCCATGGCAAATAACTGTCTAATGATCCTAGGCTTTAGCCTCCAGTCATTG